TAATCACTTTGGCGAAGGTTTCAAAGTTAATAATATGCATGCTACTACTAACATTTCTGCTAGTAGCACTGATTAGTATGCGCATCTGCGAATAAAACGAATGACAGTACGAGCCATATTTGTTGTAGTGACGGCCACTTCAGGAGGACAGCAGATTCAAATTGTTGCTCTGCGGTCTTTTAATGAAGCAGCATCAAACCGTGGACTTGGTACCTTTTTAGACGTTTCGTCGGCATCATCGAGGGATTGACTTCACTTGTCTCTTTGACGAATTCATAGTTTGGCGTGGAGAATGGCAAGACTCACTGAAGATGCCGGCAAAACGTCGGCATTGTGTGTGATTGTGTGTGTGTGTGTGTTTATCAATCTTTTTTGGTTGTCGTGAGTCTTCCCGACTTAGTGCCGACCGAAAGTTCTGGTATAAGGGAGATTCAGCTCCGATGATGTCTGTCCAGCAATATTACAGACGAAATCCCAGCCTCTATTTTTTACTCGAACAGAGGGAGGAAGTCTCGCGAACTGTGTCAACTTGAACGTCGATGCAAACTCGAACGACCTTAGAGCACCAGCCACCATCTTCTAGTGCGATATACTTATTAGTTATTCAAATATACATTCTTTCAGCTGAAATGAAAGTCACTACAACAATACCATCATCTAAGGAGAGCCATTGCAACCCAATGACGATTCGTGAAGATAAGAATTCATAGTTCCCTTCAAGGACAAATGAGTTAAAATAGTAAAAATCACTATCAATGGCTATATCATTTTAAGAATAAAGAGAATAGTTGCAACCACAGAAATAGAGAGTTAAAGAACCAATTTCACCACCAGCCCATCTAATTTGCATATTTGCATTAATACCATCTCCAGCCTGATGAAGATAGCAACCTTCTTCATCGGCACCCTTCACTCTGCCGCAACATCACAAGGGTTCAAATGCAGTCTTGGCCAAATGAAGATATCCCGTTTCCCAGACAGCTAGTCTTTGTCCACTCCACATTTTGGTTGCTAGGACCTTAATTTCCCTTAACTCTGTTATCGTCTCTTTGTTCTTGCCTTTCGTCTACTTTTGATTGCCACGTTTTTTTCTCTTGTATTCGCCTTAAACTCCAAAATGTGAGTCCATTCATTCGTGTCTGCTATGGCCATCATGAGGCTTGTTTTTGAGTCTATACCTCCCCCCCTCTCCCACCATAAAACGGCTACTAAGGCAATCCCTCTATGCCGGAGGTACCAGACGTCGGCAACAATACGCGCTGACGCCTGCGACAATCGTCTTACTTTCATCGCTTCAATTGCATTCGTCCTGAAAACTGGTCCCAGAAGCGGAGGCACGACAAAAAGCCATTCTCCTCTACTCACTCGAAAAAAGATAATTGTTTACAGCCTCCGGCGAAACTGGCTGCTTCTGTGGATGTCTGTTGGTGGCTTGGCGGCCAAT